CCCCAAAACCCCAAAACCCCAAAACCCCAAAACCCCTCACAACTATTTATGCATCGAAATATCAGTTAGATTAATAATTTAACAGAATAATGTTGCCAAAGAACGTTTGTGTATTAGCAATTCTGATCGTACTCTTTGTGGCTGTCTCTCAAGCATCTAACAGACATGAGAGCCCACTAACATTCGGAACTCTTAAAAACCAGGCGTTAACGGTAAGCAGGTTCTCTTAATGAATCCATGGTCGTTAGGTGCTCAATTTGAGACCATGCAATTATCAAGCAGTGTCTAATTAAGATATAGATCAACAATCCCTATAAGTTCTGTACATTAAAAACCTCGGTAATGGCTTTCTTTGCAGGAACTCAGACTGATCCAAACGGGCAAAGTTCCAAATGAGTTTCATATTTTCCTGAGTTGCTTGATGAATGGGATAAAATTAAGAGTAAATTAAGCACACAATTGTTAGTGCCAACCCATTTCTTCAACTTTTGGGCTGATATTACTTCCCTGATTACGAGGTTCTCTTTATGGCAGACATATTGAACCTTCAACACCATGTATGGAGCTCTGGATCATGTATTCAGCTCATTAGAAGGAGCATTTACTGTTCTCTTAAAATATACAACCTACAGGGCAGAAGTTAATGAAGAGCTGAGGAAGATTCTTGACAACAACAATAAGGAGAAATGTCCAGAAATGTTCCATAGTGTAGGGAAAGCTTTCTCATTACTTTTTGGGTTCAATGTCCCTCAGGACGTTGTTTAATTCAATCAAAATGCATGCTTTTTTCAACCTCTAATAAGGCTGAGAAGCAGCTTCAATAATTGCTTGTTAAAATTGATTTATACTCAACCGCTTTCATTCTTTTGAAACTCTTTAATCTATTAGTTTGTAAAGAAAACTAAGTATCCATATTGGTTTATTTTGTAATTCTAACAGTTTTATGAGTCTATCTAACGGATCAAATTCAATTTGAGAGGATCTGAATGGGGTTTTGGGGTTTTGGGGTTTTGGGGTTTTGGGGTTTTGGGG